AAAAATATAAAAACAATAAAAAATTATACTTCCGAAGTTAATTTAGTATCAAAAACGTAAAATATTCGAGTAGTCCAAGACATAGCCAAAGATTGCAGCGTCACAGTACTGGCAAAAATTAAAATTTGCCGACTGGAATTCTTTCAGATAATTGATGTTTCAGTTAATTGACTTTCGGATAATCGACACTTTACTGTATATAGCTTTTTAGACATCACATAATAAAATCATATAACATAACGATAACAGTAAAATTTATTTAAAACTGACTTTTAAAACTAAAAATTTAAATTTTCTAAAACCATCATTTCAAAATATGTCAGTGTTAACATTATTTCAATATTAAATTTATAAAAAACATCAGTGTATGCTTTAAAATTTTATTTTTTAAACATTAGATCCTAACAATCTTCCTTATATCAGAATTAAATTCTAGACATCATCATTTTATATAAATTTTTCTCAATTTTTCTGAGAAAAAGTATAGAGGAAGTGATCTGATTCTGATAATGTACACACTCTACTTAGTTATCATCATTTAACTAAGTTACATTATAGCTAAATATCTATCATCAATTAAAAAAATGAAAAAATGTTCAGTTTAAAAATATTTATATTTACTATCTGTTTATTGTAAATTTATATTTAAAAAAATTATATTTTGAAAGTTTGTTTTAATATAAAAATTATGACACAGCAACATCTAGTATCTAAAACATTCCGATGCAGAAACGAGTATATTCGGGGTCAATAAGTTAGGTCAAATGAGGTCAACATGAAAATACTCGGTAACAACACGGGACAGGTTAAACCAATATTAATCAACCCCCTGGCTTCTCACAATAAAAAAAAATCACAAATATTACAAAATTTGTATAATACAAATTTTAGAGACTTAAATAGGATATAAATTTTAATATCCCAACAGTATTAAAAACTTTTTCATAAAATATTTTTGTATTTAATATTTAATGTTAGTACTTACATATACTATGTTGATGTACAGATTCATTCTTTTCACAAACTTCTTCCAGAAACAGGTCTTCATCTGTACTTATAGACAATGTATCATCTCGTTCTTCATTTGGATCTAAATGTACTTCATTTACTTTCCTAAAACAATTATTAATTATTTTATTAAAATTAATTTCTAATTCTTGTTCAATATTTAATTCTTTAAAGATTTAATTTTTTGACTCTTTTTATTTACTGTCAATCTATGTTCTCGTAATGAACCTTGAAGACTTGCTAACTGACTTGGTGCTGAAAAAAACCTAAATTATTTTCTAACCCATTATAATNTGACAAAGAAAACATTGTTTAATTTATATTAATATGTATCACTTAAGAAAATTTTAATAAAGATATTTAACTTAATTATGAAAATATAGTAGCATGTTTTTTTAATTTTTGGAACCTAACCCTTCTTTTCGTACTAGTTCTTTGATTTGCATAACACGGCAATTTTTTGGAACGTAACTATCGTGTTATACGGGGGTTACCTGTACATTGTTCAATCAAAATGGATTAAAAGCTTGAATAGTTAGGATTTTTTTAACTTGGATGATTCTTTTTGAAACACCCTTTGTATCATTCCAGTAAAACTGTTTCATCATTATTATAATTACTTATGTATATATTTATTCTTTCAGATTAAATACTGATATAATGCTTGGAAGAAAAAATGGGATGCAAACATTGCTTGTACTTACTGGTATTAGTGATCTGAAAGAAGTTGAAAGTAGAAAAGAAGAAAATTTACCAGATAGTGAATTAATGATTCCAGATTATTATATAGAAAGTTTAGGACAAGTTGGAAAAATTTTAGGTGTATGTTAATTTTAATGATTATCTTTAAATTCTAGTGGGATTGTTTTAATTATGAATTTATAGATTAAATTACAGTTAAAACTAAATAAATATTGTAATAAATTTGGGAAATACTCTGACTTTACATATTTTTAGAGATTATTATTAATTTATTAATGAAGAACTTTGTTTAATTATAGTATATTAAGTTAGGTAAATTTTTAATTTACATTTAAAATTTATGTATCAGTTCAATAGTAATATATACTATGATTTTGAGATTTAATAAGAATTTTTGTAAGTTAAAAAAAGTTATTTAATGAAGTACATTATATTGAATTAATGCGATGCTTTTAATTTAATCATTTATATTAAATATAATTTAATTAAAATATTTTAAACTATTAGCAAAATCTTCTGTGAAACATATAATAAAGATATTTAACAAAACATTTTTTTAAATTATAAAAATTAATTAAATAGAAAAAAATAATTTATCATCATCTGTATTATTAATTCTAATCTAACTAATTAGTTTAAATAAATGAATCTTCATATTCTTAAGTATATTTAGAAATAGTTGAAGACCATTCAAAGCAACCAACTTAATAGGATTCTCCATTACAATACATTTATTTCAAATAATTACAAATATAGAACTCTTTGAGAGCACAATATATTTTGCCTTCTATATCTGCTTTATTTTTTCATTGATATACAAATAAATAATATAATATATATTTATTAGTTTAAGTTAAATATATACAGTGGATAAATAACAAATACATTATTATTCTGCCAACTTAAGCAGGGTTGCTCAGATTCAACCGAAACACTTACAGATTAATAACTTATTTGTTTAATAACGAAGTAGTTAATGTTAATATGTATTATTTACTTATAGACTGCATTCATATTTAATTAAATTTTCTTATCATAGAATGAAGTAAAACTAAATTTTATTAAAACAATATAAATTTATATTGTTCATGGTGTATACAATATTTTTGTTTAATTATCAAATGTATTGTTTAATTGTGTTAATTATATAAATGTATAAATTTATATAAAATTTTTACATTGCTGATATATTATGAAGTAACAGGCATGAAATGGTATAAAAGTTTTCTTGTGTAAAGTATTTACAACAGAATTCTTAAGTCAATAAAAATTCTCAGTGCCTTTTTATAAAATTGTATTCTGCTGATTTCATTTACTGTGATTAGTAGATTTAATAATGAGTATTTTGTAAATAGGTAAATTTAAATATTAAAATAAAGCATATTTTTTCAGAGTTGTAATTTATTGTTTATGCTAAAAATAACAAAGTTTTAAATAAATCAATTTCCAAAGAATTTTAATTATAATTTTGAAACTTACCAAGTAATCAACATAAACAAAAAAATAAATACTTGTGTACAGTGTTACATATAATGGCATATCTGTATATCAGGAACAAGTATAAATTTTTAAAATGACAAATAATATAAATGAAATAATTTAAAACCAATGGTCGACAAGGCGTGGGGAACAAGAGACTTTACAGGAGTGTGTCCATGGAGAGAGGTAAACGAGAGACTGTGCAAAGGAAACATTCGACATTATTTGTTTTAGAATGTGAAATTACATTCTAAAACAAATAATTCCATACGTATTCCATATTCCATCCGCGAGTTTCGATACCACTTAGCATTAAAAATACTGGCAACTTTAACACTATTATACATGGCGTGTCGTGACATTTGATGATAAGGAAGCCGTTTCTGTAAGAAGCCGACTTACAGGGGCAATCAGTTAATTGCGTCTCAGGTCCATTCTTATTCGTTTGTTCGATAAGCCAGTTAAAATCGTACACTTCTTTAAATGTATTTTTAATAGATTATCTGACGTACTTAATAAATAAACAAGTTCAATGTAATTAATTACCTCTGTTATTAGATTGAATAGATTCCCTATGCCCTTTTAACTGCCAAATCTTGCTTTGAGAAAAAACATATAACATTTGTTAATTTAGATATAATAAATCTATTAGCCATAATTATCTTGTTATAATTTTCAATATTTATTTTATATTGTTTACTAATGTTAATTTCTATTCTGCTTTGATTTCCAAATTGCTTCAATTTTACGAAAGAATCTATATAACATTTACGATTTTCGTGTCTTGCCAGCTTTACTCAAATTGTTTAAATTGTCAAAGCCATTCTTATTCCACACACTAATTTCATTTGAAAATAGTAGGCAAGGCCAACAAAACAATTTTTACATTTTTATGCATCACGTAAAATGTGCATTTTTATGCACAAAGCCATTTTACATCTTCATAAATTTTATCGTGAAAGTGTCTAATAAATTTTTTTGTTGATGTATTTATATTTCATTTAGGCATTGGTCTTTCTCTTTTAATAGTGTTTTCTTTCTCATTATATGGTCTCCAGCCAAAACTTTTTTGAAATAAATTATCAATATCACAATTACATTCTGAATCGCTAGCCATAATATAAGGGCTAAAATTAAAAATAAAATTATAAAAACTTGTTAAAATAAAATGTGTGATGGATATACAATTATACATACCTGGTACAAAATATTCAATTGTATGAATATACTGTACTTTTAAAGAAAATCATAATTAAATATAGTTTTGTGAAGAAACATACATAAAAATAACATAAAATATTCTTTACTTTTTAAATATTAAAACAATCCACTTAGTTAAAACTGCTCCCTACCAGGCTCATGAATGGAATCAGAGATGATCTTGGAGGTGTGCAGTGTGTGCATGCATGCCAAATCCCGAGGGTGCTGATACCGGTTAATGTCAAATGCCTCTTTGTCGCATCACTAGTGTATCTCAAAGGATGTGACAAGATGGTTGTAAATTTTAAACGTTTCTCACCATAGTTGTAAAAATCTAAATATGTTAAACTTAATAGTCATTTGTTTTAGGACCAGGTGTCCACAGAAATTTCCAAAATTTACAACTTTTTAGTCACTCTTCATGAACTGGAAAAATTTGTTTATATTACGTCTAATATTACGAAGAAATCACTCCCCACTGTACTCAGCTAGAAATTGGTTCAGTTAAGCTTTCGTTTAACTAAAATTCCGGTTCTTTCGGCAGGATTTTATTTATGTCCCTAATTCCCTAATCTTTTAATTATTTAACTACTACTTAAGTAGAAATAAATTGAAACCGCTTACTTTGAACTTGAATATTTGTAGTCTTGGGAAAAAAGTGGAAAGACAAATTTTTATGAGAAACGGATACATAAATCGTAAATTTGAGGAAAATAAATTCTAGAGCTTTTTCTGTACCTCGTGCATCTCTCTCATTCATTAAATTTAGTTGTAAATGATGCTACCAAAGTAACCGTTAATTTTTTAATATTGTACAAGAATTGTACACATTTTTTTTCTACATCCCTTTATAGTGATATTACGATTTCGTATGTCCCGAAATCGTAATATCACTGGTTTAACATTGAAATCCGTAAGTAATATGAGATGGGAGAGCGGAATAAAAATATTTTAATGGATTTTTTTAAACTCTTGTCACCTATAGAGAACTATCATAAAAACATACCAGTAAATTCCTATCGGTTGGGTTAAGTTATAAATCTCGTGATTCACATAATGGGGCGAGGGCGGCCAAATATCTAGCAGGCAAGCGGCTAACATCCCGGAACCCGTCCTGGATAGAATCATTGGAAACGTTTTAGTGTGTAGCTTCCACCAGCTAAACCGGGTGAGGTTGGTTCTCTTAAAACGCATGCGCATAATCTGGCTGTTTGGAAGCTGAAATACAGTAGTTTTATGCGGTTGCCAATTGGCAGCCCCCTGTGTGCTTTGTTCATCTGTCACTACCATATTTTCAAGATGGCGACTGGACAACATAAATTATTTTGTGTTCTACGCTTTGTGAAGTGTGGGTCCGTAACAACTGTTCAGTGTTATTTTCGCCGACAATATGGTGTTGAACCACCTACTGCCCAGAGCATTGGGCGATGGTATGAACAATTCCAAGACACGGATGTTGTCACGTGTTTGCTGTAAGTTTACAAAGTGCGTGTGCCGGGCTGTGAACGGCTCACGTATTTGTAAAATCTAAGTGACTCGTACAACATGGAATTCATATAAAACGGAATTATCAACAGTGTTATAGGGGGACCGACTGTACAACAACAGGCCTAGCCACGAATGCCGTCATTTTGTAAGATGGCCGACATTGATGGCCTGTGATTCCTACTTAATTAACTAGAGTGTATTTACAAATATCGTTAAACTTTCCAGCTATTTTTACACCCAATTTAGTTTATTTCATTTAATTTTAACAGAAATATAATTAAAATGAACTGATTCTTAATCCTCTTATCGTTAATAAGCCACACACAGACACACCATCATTTGTAACAAGTTTTCGTAGTATTGCATTTAATAATGACTTCTGGTTGCCATTCTTTAAAAATATTTCCCTATACTTAGAAGATTAGCTGGAACGTTGAGAATAAGCTGTTCGATGAACTTTATAATTCCGAACTGTACGTCATCACACTGAGATGCTATCTTGTCAAGCATTGCAAAAACGTAAAACCGAAGCTGCAAAAGAGGAGAAGTCGAGTTTTTATAACGATTAAATAAGTTCTCAAGTTACGACCATCTTTTCACAGATTCACATTATCCAAAATCCATGTTAAAATTCCGTTGGTGGGCCTGTTGTAGTTGGCTGTGGTAGTACACTGATTTGACCTAAAAGTGCCGCGTAAGTTAGCCCGGATATAAGGAGCCTTACTCCTACGGGTAGGGCAAAATCTGTTTAAGGAAATAGGTCGAGAGCATTTAAGTTCCCCATCGTTTGCCTTTTTTTTTTGCCCATAGCAGTAAAGTTGCTCAAGCATCTCTTAGAACATTCATATTTATTTTGCTTTTAGAAAATTGTTTATGACTAGGTTTAAGTAGTGGGCTGCACAACGAATATAACGTGCCAAGCCTTTGTATGTACTGTACCGAATATTTGCT